GTTCTGGCTACTTGGAAGGCTGAAGCAGAAGGTCCGCTGGAAACCAGCAGGTCGATGCTGAGGTGGCCGTGAGCATGTCACTACACTCCAGCCTGGGAGATGGGAGTGAGGCTCAAACTCAAAAAACTGCTTTTCACATTTAAGTCTTTAACATGTGCATTTTCTTCCATATGGATAATCAACTCCCCACCACCACCACTTAGCAAAGTTCTGTTATATACTAAGTTTTCATATATCCACAGCATTGTTTCTGGGTTCACTACTCTGTTCTAATGGCTTATTTGTCTATTGCTGTCTTAATACCATATCTTACACACTGTAGCTTTAGAACAAATTTTGATGTCTGCTAATGCATATTTTCTTACCTGTTTTTATGTCTTTTGTTTTGTTTTTGTTTTTCTGAGTCTCGGACTCCTACCTGGCTTGGGTTCCTGGTCTCAAGCAGTCCTCCTGCCTTGGCCTCCCCAAAGTGCTGGGATTACAGGCATAAACCACCGCCCTGGCCCTGTTTTTAATGTCCCTTAGTAAGTATTGACCTTTTGCTGTTAGATAATTGTAACACTGCATGAAACCTATATTGATGATTTTTCAATAGATATGCCCACTTTTTTAAATTCCCTATTCTCATTTCCCTAGTTTATGCCATTATCATAAATGTATTACAAAATTTTTCTTGATGCTCTTGCCTTCAGCACTCCAATCTATTTCTTACATTGTAGCCAGAAATATTTTGCTAAACGTAATTCAAGTCACCTTCTACTTATTTATTTTTTTAAGATTCAGAGTCTTGCTATGTCAATCAGGCTGGAGTGCCATGGCACAATCATAATTCACTGCAACCTTGAACTTCTGGGCTCAAGCTACCCACCCTCCTAAGCCTTCCACTTGGGTAGCTTTTTGTTTGGCTGGTTTGGTAAAAATGAGGAGCTCACTATATTGCTCAGGCTGGTCTTGAACTCCTGGCCTCAAATGATCCTCCTGCCTCAGCCTCCCAAAGGGCTGGGATTACAGGCATGCCAATGTGCCCAATCTCTACTTACCAACCCTTTCATGGCTTTGCAGGGTCTCCAGGATCAAAGTTAAAACTCTTCTACTTGGTTCATCTTCATGAACTGGTTTCTGCTCACTGTCCATTCTCACCTTCACTATCTTTTCCGTCCTACATCACTCTGTTCTCTCGTCACTGAATTCACTTTTGATTCAACCTAACTGAGAGATTTTCAAATTAAAATATGGCAATTTGGAAAACTTGCCATCCCAAAGATGCAAAAGATTTTAGCCAGATATTCATTTGCATCTAAATCCTAAAACAAAACATTATTTCAGCATAATCACAAACACATATAAAAACTTTTTTTTGTTTGAAGAGTCTTATTGTTACCCAGGTTGGAGTGCAGTGGCACACTCAGGGTCACTACAACCTCGGTCTGCCAGGTTCAGGCACTCCTTCTGCCACAGCCTTCCAAGTAGTTGGAACTACAGGCATGTGCTTCCACATCCGGCTGATTTTTGATTTATTGTGAAGATGAGGTCTCACCAAGTTTACCAGACTGGTCTCAAACCCCTGGACTCAGGCAATCCTCTTGCCTCGGCCTCCCAAAGTGCTGGGGTTACAGGCATGAGCCACCGTTCCTAGCCTAAAAACTCTTAAAAATACAATACATGACACCCTCATGCTCTTTCTCTTTTTATATTTTTAATGAGCCCAAGGCTCAATTAAGACGATATCAGTCTAATAACAAACTGATTATAAATTCAATTTAAAGCATATATCAGAATATGAAGCACATAGTATGTTCTTGGAACCAGTAAATAAATGTTTTATTTTCTTACCACAATAATTTCTAAATGTATGATGTTTGAAACTTTCGCAATCTATCTTGGCGAACACTAGAAAAGACATTCTAGAAGTTATCACTTAGGAAAGGTTCGCTGAAGAAAGTACACAGCCACATCAGAGAAAGGATCCCTTTAGCACCTGACTCAAGATTCTTTTCAGTCTCTGAAATATCTGAAAAGCCAGCCAAACCATAACAGGGATCTCCAAAGTTTCAGTTTGTACCACTAACATCACTCACATAATCTCTACCCACCTTCCTCTGCCATCAAAGCCTCACCCTGCCTTTCTGTCTCATTTTAGATCTTTCTCAAGCTTCTTACCACCAAAGTTGAGGGAGAAGAGGTCTTCCAGCTCAGGTAGCTGGGCAGTGTAGAGGAACCTGGGTATACAGTTGCACAGGCCACCTGACCAGCTGCAACTCCCTCTTCCTATCTTGCTTCCCCAAATTCAGACATATTCATAACAATAGCCTTCAGGAGGCCAGAATTAATCCAGAGACTTCAAAATATGTAGACACACACATAGTGTAAACTGGTAACCTGTCCTCTAAGTCCTAGAATTCTGGCTTTCTCATTCTTTCATGGGGGACATGTGAGAATCCTTCAAGGTATTTGTGGGAGCCTTACCCACAAATATATGGATAATTAACTTAACTCCCTTCACCTCCTTCAGCTGCCAACAGTCTATAAAGGCCAATAGTCTTTGTTGGAGAGTTCTCCTGGCTTGCGGACAGTTTTCCTGAGACACTAGCTAAGAGCTCAGACTTAAATTATCTTGGTACCACCAGACTCACAGAAAACTTGCATATCTTTGCCACCCCAATTGTGGGAAGGCAGACTGGTCTACTATAAGTCTAACCACCTCTCCTTCTCACTCCCATCCTCACTTTTTTTTTTTTCCTGAACAGGTAGGCAGAGAGCAGATTAACAAGTTTGCTGCCTAAATTAATACCCAGTCTGGAAATAAAATGCAAGTCTCCCCTTCCTGAAGGCATTTCCAACCACTACCAGTGATTCTCTTGGCAAAAAGCATGACACTGGGAGCCAGTTCTACCACTTCTTAATCATCCTTTAAGTTATGTCTGGGTGCTGTGCATAGGGACCTCAAGGTGGGTGGTGGGGTGCTCTGGTCCTAGTCATTGTCAAATTTATATAGAAAATGAAGTACTTAGCATCTTCTTGACCCATCTTTGACTCCCGCCTAGTTGCTGTTCTTTGGGTATACAAAAAGCTCAACACAATCACCTGTTATACACAAATGCAATTTAAAAACTCAGTACATATGTACATGACAAATGGAAAAAAACAGTACTGCATACAGTATTCATAAGTACACACAAATATACCTTTACAATGTATTCATATACCACGTTTACAGACATGTGAACCCACTGTAAAACAAACAGAAAATAGATCAGGTTATCTACAGAAATGCTAGTTATCAAATTGATGTTAAGACTACACAGGAAGATTACATGACTTCAATAAGGAACGCAATAAAACAGTTACATTAATAAACTTGTCACATTTGCATTTCCATGAAAATAAAAAATACAGAAAAAAAAGAACATACAATGAGAAAAAAATAAACAGGGAGGGAAGAGAGGAAAGACAAATATCCCTATATCTTAAAAAGGTAAAGCAATTTAGTCTACTGGCACTGAATCATTTGCAAAAAATAGGCAGGAACCTAAGTCAGGTGTCCAAGAAGGCTTGGCACCAACATTAGACATCAAATACTTTATATTTCTTAAAGATAAAGTAAGAGAATGTAGTTCTTTTTAAAAATGTACCCTCAACTCCCTCTCAGTTTATTTCCTCCAAACCACTTTAAGTATTTATAGAAACATATAAAATTACCACATTGTCTTTTAAAATTAAAAATCAAAACACATACTTTGTTCAGTCAATAAAACAAATGGTAAAATAAAACATTTAAAAATTCCTTAGTTCCACAATACGGTCAGATGGAAGAGACAGCACATAAATTGTGGGTGGGAGAAATTAAATCACTATCTTCTGAATCTATCCATTACTATCAGTTTTTCTTAAGCAATAAGATTTTATTAAAACACACACACAATAAAACATAAGCCAACCAAAGTTTCAGGACTAAATATGAACGTGTCCTCTACTTTCAAAGGTTTTTGGGATCCTTTTTTTTTCTTTCAGTCAGAGTCTCGCTGTTACCAAGGCTGGAGTGCAGTGGCATGTTCATGGCCACCGCAGCCTCGCCCCTCCACCTGCTGAGCTAGGTGACCCTTCCACCTTAGTGTTCCAAGTAGCTGGAACTACAGGCGTGTGTCACCACACTTGACTAATTTTTCTTGATTTATTGTAGAGACGAGATCTCACCAAGTTGCCCAGGCTGGTCTTGAATCCCTGGGCTCATGCAATCCTCTCACCTTGGCCTTCCAAAGTGCTGGGATTACAGGCACGAGCCACCACACCCGGCCAGATTTTGGGGATCCTTAAAACTTTAGCCTAAATTATTAGTGACATTTTGTATCACTAAAATATCTTTCCTTTAACTCTGAGTGTTACATTATTTGAAAAAAGCACTGTAAGTTGCTGCCCTGTGTAGGAAAAGACATTTTCTTCGAGGATCCCGGTGTGTTGTTACTCTAAAGGACCTGCCTTGTGCTGTAATTTGTTTTCAGTCATTTTAAGTGAGTACACAGACACAAGAGCAGGTATGTGTGGCATTTTTCTAAATCGCCTCCAAACAATAATAGAGGTTGTTAAATCTACTTAAGTTACCAATAATACCTGACTTTGTCACAGAGCACATTAAAGGCAATCAGTTCTGGTAAAGTCTAAAAACCTTCTAATATAAACTTGTCACTATGGCACAATCTGCCACTCTTATAAAATCAGAATTTACTAATAGGAAATCTAAAGCCATAACACCCACTATAACACTCCACCTTACTCACACACTCTGTCTAAACATGCATCTACAAAACAAACTTAACTGACCTAATCACCCTTGATCAACTTGGCAAACTTATTTTACTGAGCCCCTCCCTTGCATTTAAATTCTAATCTTACCCCTTGAATTCACTTCCCTTCAAAGAAATCACTCCTCATTCTGAAACTGTCCTACAATCTTAACACGTTAATAAAATACAATAATAAAAAAGACATACAAAATACAGTACCAAATTCTTTAATTTTAGAACCAACAGTCTTAAATTCTATTTAATAGATATGATAAGTATAACAAGAAAAAATAAAAGATTATAAAAATTGTAAACATTCTTCATTGAAAGTGCACATATAGGCAGTTTATATAGAATAAGCTATTTCACTTATAACTATTTTTACTTCCATAATTTTAAGTGGACAGAAAGTTTAAAGTGAAATAGCAAATTCCTCACACTCAATGCCTATATGCACCTTATATAGCAATATTTAAAGTTTTTAATGTGATAAGTGAGCTTGCTTCTTGCTTGTTAATTTGTCTAATCTAGGTTGGATTGACGACAATGCTACTCTCAAGGGATAGTGTATATTTAAACTGTTTCTATGTTTTGTTTTAATAACACTTAAAGTAGAGAACCCGGTCTCACAGAGATATGTTGAGGGAAATAGAAGAAGAGATTTTAAAGCAATCTCAGCAAGCTCAGGATACTCATTTTTAATTTTTATCCAAAATGAAGGAAGTGATGCTGTATTATCAAAATTTGTTTTCAATCCTTCATCAGTTGCCAGCTTCAACAACTTATCCTGTAGAGTTACAGTTAAATTTAAATTACCTTTTAATGAAAGAAATGGATTTTGGATCCATGAGTTTCCTATGCGTGGATCTTCGTTTGATGGAAAATAAAATTCAAAACATTCTAACAAATTTGTAAGATGTTCACTGATAACTTTTCGCAGATGTGCAATATCAAGATTATTACCTACTTCATTTATAATTGTTGTTAAATTATGAAACATATCATAACAATTTGTAGAAATTCTGTTTTTCCAAGCGTCTAACTTTTGTTTTTGTCCTTCAACCTTATCTGCCATTGAAAAACATGTTGCATTCTTTCCTTGCATAGAAACGTTAAGATCATTAAAAATACTGAAGATATCAGAAAGGTAAGCAAGTCTGGCTGTCCAATTCACATCTTTAAAAAGTTGGGACCAAACAGGTTTCTTGCCTTGCAAAAACACTAAGAGTTCATTTCGTATTTCAAACATTTTTGACAGAACTTTTCCCCGTGACAACCACCGTATCTCAGCATGCAGTAATAGCTGCTTATGATCAGCTTCCATATTATCACATAATAAAGAGAATAATCTTGAATTTAATGCATTAGATTTTATGTAATTCACAATTTTTACTATGTCAGTAAGCACACTATTTAGTTCAGCTGATATTTTTTTCATAGCAAGACTTTCTTGATGAATGAAGCAATGTGTTGTTTTACATTCCGGTGCAAGTTCCTTTATCTGAGTAACCACTTCAGAATGTTTTCCTGTCATTGAAGCTGCACCATCAGAACATACTCCTACACAAAACTTAAATTCCAAACCACATTTGTTAACAATGTAATTCTTCACAGCTTCATACAGTTCTGAACTAGTTGTGTTTGTAGGCAAAGAGGCAGAAAAAAAGAATTCTTCCTTTATATCATCATCATGTTCAAACCTCACATAGACTAAAAGAATAATCATGTTCGCAATGTCTCTGCATTCATCAAGTTGCAAAGAAAAATACTTTGCTAGCTTTATTTGTTCTATAAGTTGGTCTTCCATATCATTAGCCAGTTCCTGAATACGTCGAGCTATGGTGTCATTGGAAAGTGGTACTTGAGCTACCTTCTTGGCTGCAGATTCACCCAACATTTCCAAGCAAACTTCCTTGATGCAGTCTTTCACCAGTGTCTCGGCAATTGTGTATGGTGTTTTAGACTTAGCAACTGGAAGTGCTACTTTATACGATGCCCGCAAAGCACTAACATTTATATGAGAATCATTGAACACCAGCTTTGGTTGGCTTTTTAATTCACTACTCTTTCTTTCAAAGAATTCTTTTGGTTGTGAACTAATTTCTTTATGTTTTGAATATAAATGTCGCTTAAGTTTTGATGGTTTCATTGCTTCATTAGCCAGTACATCTCCACAAATGATACACTGTGGTTTTGGCACTTCACCATCAATTATAGCTACAAAACCAAATTCAATATATGAAGGATCGTATTTCCGAGTAAAAGTAGTACGAATTCTTTTGGTTTTCCTTTCTTCAGGTTGCCTTCTATTGTTACTATTGATTTTATGATCACTGCTGTATTCAGAAAAGGTATGTCTTTTCTTAACAAAAAAGTCCATTGAAGCTTGTTTTGTCACCTGGCAATTAGGATTAAAAATAAACAATACAAATTTTATTTCCTTCCTTTAGCTAATAATGTTAAACCACAAATTAAAAACTAGTCGATTAAAAACAAAAAGTTACTTTAAAATTAAGTTATAAAAATAAATAAATGCTTACATTTTCTTAGAATTTTATATTTCTTTGGGTGATAGCTGATAAACTAAGCATAAAGTATCACACATTGTAATGTGAACCTATTATATTTGACCAGTGTGTAACTCCCACATGTGACTCACCCTGAGAGTTTAACAAAACCCAAACTGATTCATACTCTATTCAGTAAGATGAGTCCATTAATTACGTGCTTGGATATTGCAGCAATGTAAAATTGTTATAAATGTTTCTAAATACCTCTTAGTTTTTATACTTACTTCATTATGAATTCGTAAAAATAGTTTAAAGACCAGTATTAGTCTGCAGATCACTTTGGGTACCACGAGTCCAAATCATGTGTATCCTCCATATTTCAGACATTAACTCTACCTCATGGAACTTGTTAACTTAAAATCCTTCTGGCCCTATTTAATGCTTCCATTTAAATTCCAAAACTGAACTTTTCCCCAACACAAACCCACATCTTCCTACCAAATTTATCATACCCCACAGCTCCTAAATACTTCTTCACTTTTTTTTGTTTTTTTGGAGTTGGAGTCTTACTCTGTCGTCAAGGCTAGAATGCAGTGGCAGCCTCAACTGGCTGCGCTCAGGCAATCCTTCCACCTCAGCCTTCCAAGTAGCTGGAACTAAAGGCATGTGTTCCCATGTCCAGTTAATTTTTTTAATTTATTGTAGAGATAAGATCTCACCAAGTTGCCCAGGCTGGTTCTTGAACCTCTGGGCTCAGGCAATCCTGTCTCAGCCTCCCAAAGTGCTGGGAATATAGGCGTGAGCCATCACATCCAGCAATATTTCTTCACTTGCCTCATAATGTCCTTTCATTGCTTACCTCCCCACCTAAACTCACATGTCTGAAACAAAGTAACATTCAATTCAAATTTTACTAAATTCATCCTCCTGTAGAAACATACCTTCATACACACTATTTATCCCCTCAGTCTTGGCCTTCTCATTCCCCCAAGAAATGCCTGACATAAGAAAGGGGTAAAAGAGATATTATTCATTACACCCAGAACAATAAATGTGGCATTAAAGGTTAAAGGTTGTAACTTTAAACTTGAAAAAAAAAGGTGAAGGAGGTATTAAAAGTAATTAGCCTTTCTTTGGGGAAAATATATTTAAAGTAGTCAAAATGTGCATTTGTATACTATGTGAAATAATTCTTATTCATCATCATCACAGCAAAGTGTAATAAGGCTCTTCCCCGGCTTTTACCTACAGCAGATAGATATTCAAACTCTTACCCAATCTCCTACTTTGTGTGGTGAAAACGATGTCTCTGACGGCTTTAGCATTTTGGAAGGTTGAACAGGCAAACTTCTTTGAATCTCATCATGTTTCCTTTTCATCGTACTCGTTTCATAGCAAAGACTACAAGTTATTTGCTGACCACAGTCCTCAGACTCATGTTGCCAGGGCACTCCACAGATTGCATGGATATTTCCATCGCATGATATACAACTATTAGCACCTGTGCACTCTTTTGCACAAACTACGCAGGATAAAAATCTTAGTCTGCTCTCAGAAGGGCTTTTTCCAGCCAATGTAGGAGTAGTAGAAGGATTCTCTTCAATATCACTACTATCTGTTCCAGTCTCAATGTCTTCTTCATAATTGGCTCTTAGAGTATTTTCTAACTCTTTGTTGGCCTGATCTAATTCATTTTCTGTGTGCAGGCTGGCAACGAGTTCTTCAGTTAACTGAGAATGGGACAAGCCCAGGCTAGTTTCAGAACAAAATGCACCTTCACATGAAGTCTGTGGCATGCCTCTGTGAAAGGGTTGATTTTGGGTCATCTGAATGAACCACAAAAATTCAGCCCAGTGTGATGAGTTGTTAGTTTGCATCCAGGAGAAAATCCTCTTTTGAATGTCCTCACTAGTCTGTTCTCTCAAACTTTGGCTTTGACAGGTCAGAGGCTTCCCATGGGCAATTTTCAATTCTGGCCAAATATTACTAAGTTCACTGACAATCTGGCTTGAAAATTCACTCCCATTGTTAGATTGTAGGACACTGGGTGTGCCAACAGTTGTAAAAATATCTAAAAGAGCATGTGCAACTTCCTTAGGCCTTTTAGATTTTAATGACCGCAAAAAACTTAACTTTGTACGAAGGTCTTGATAATGCATGATAAATTTATACTCCCCATCAGGATTCAATTGCATGTCTATAAGATCTACTTGGCATCTTGAATTAACTTCCTTAATTGGTTTTGATGTTAGAACTTTCTTGAGTTTTGAATTTTTCTGTTGGCATGGTTTACAGAGTGTCAAGTATAGCATTATAACTTCTTTTGTGATGTTCTTATATTTTGCTTGCAATTCTTTTTCCATGCGAGTGCGTCCACCATGTCCAATGCTGAGATGTGTATCATGGAGAATGTCAAATAGGTCCTCACTGTGTAAGTAATACCGTATTTTGTCTGTTTCCCCATTTACAGCCTCAATCAGCTTCTCTTTTCCTTGTACAAGGATCACATCAAACCTAGCCAAGCGACGGTAGTCAACTGATTCCTTTTTTGCCTTAGCTTTAGCTTCTTTCACTTCCCTTATCAACTGACAGTACTTTGCTTTAGAAAATATCTTAGTATTATTACTTTTGTTTTCTAGTAAAACTGCTAAGCTTCTGAAGAATTTTTCTCTCATGTCTTCTGGTTCAATTTCTGCTTCACTAGTATCTAAGCTGCTAAGGTTATCATCACCCATGTTTTGAGACATGGAAAGCCACAAAAATGACCCTATAATGTAAAGGAGAAAATCAGTTAGAATGTTTGGGAATATAATTTAAAATATATACATTGTCTAAATAGCCAGTAGTGCTTGGGGTGCAAGTAAGGGCTATGAACACACAAAAGGGGGATATCATTTTGGCTAGGGAGTACAACCTTGATGGAATGAAGAGAGAATAAACAAAGAACTCTAGCCAGGAACAAAAAGTTCATATACAGTAAGAGTAGAAAGCCAGGGCATGACTTTCCAGAGCAGTATTCAGGGAAGAAGCACTGTTTTACGTAAAACAAGATGCAAACTAATGTATTTATTTATTTATTTACTATAAAATAACTTTTTTTTTTTTTTGGCTAGAGAAACCTCACCAATACAATAATACACATTTAAAGAGTTCCCTGAGTATATAACATTATCTTTTTTATTCAGTTAAGTTGGCTGTTATACCAACAATTGTGGCTTATGCTCCAACATTATTTATTTATTTATATTTTAAAGATGTAGGGTACAATTTAGGGTTCCAACACAATATTTTTATACCAGCTCCCCTTTGGGGCTTGTGAAACTATAAACTCTGTACAAATATCTTTATTATTAATTTTAATAAAGTAAGAGCAGCAGATGCATCTGAACTAGTGAAAAATCTCTGACTTAAGGATATTAAAAATATTTAGAATATTCATAATAGAAACACAGTACTTCACACTTGGCTTACTAAGTGTTAAGGAAACTATTTTGAAAAAATCAAAAAGAATAACTTGAAACTAGCATATCATCTCCAGATAGTCTCATAGCCGCTTGGAAAAAATATTTTCTTTTAAGTCAACATTATTTATACTACCAATCTGCAAACCAAATAATGAACTAGTAAATTTAAATAATCTCAAATATTCTCAATTTAGAAAACTAAATTAAAATTAATGATATATTACTGTGTGTTTTGGCTTCAGTTAACCCTCCACTGTCCCAATACAACTTCCTTGATTATTAAATTTAAGCTAACAGTGAATTCTTTCCTGGAAAACAGATCTATTCACAATACAAGTTAACACTATAGCACTCTGTTCTTTAACTGTTTCATAAGTAGATTTAACGAGATTGTAAGTTTCTAAAGAAACAGAGATCACTTATTTCTCTAGTATCTTTCATATTATCTAATACATTACTACATTCAAGTATTCAGTAAAAATTCACTAATTAATTTTATAAAGACAATACTCATGGTGGTTTCAAAATGCAACTGAAAAGACAATTACATGGATAGCATTTCTTTCCCTGCTGATCCATTCTGTACCATGCTATGCAGAAAAGAAAAATAAGCAAGAATAAATTAGGAAGAGGAAAGAAGTATAAGGCAATGTAAATGAGAACCAGGAAACTATGAGCCCAGAAGTTAGTAGAATCAATGTTAATAAATCTAGTATGAGCAGGATATTTAAAAAGGCTAGGGCTATAGGAGGAGAAAAACCAGTTAAGTATCCATTATACTTAACTCTTTTTACTTCACAGGTGCTTTTTTTTTTTTTTTTACTTCCTGGGTGCCTTTTTTTTTTTTTTTTGAGTTGAAGTCTCACTCTGTCACCCAGGCTGGAGTGCAGTGGAATGCTCCCGGTCACTGCAGCCTCAACCTGCTGGGCTCCCATGATCCTTCCGCTTCAGCCTTCCAAGTAGCCAGAACTACAGGCGTGTGCTACCACACCTGGCTAATTTTTTTTATTTATTGTAGAGATGAGGTCTCACCAAGTTGCCCGGGTGGGTTTCGAACCCGCGGGCTCAGGAGATTCACTTACCTCAGCCTCCCAAAGTGCTGGGATTACAGGCTGAGCCATGAGCTTGGCCTACTTAACTCTTTTTAAATGGAAAATACACCTGCTCCAGAACTAGGCCTGGCTGTGCTCCCACCTCCACTACACAAACCTTAGAATACTTGTGGACACAGCCTTCAGTCATATTCTTCAGCAGAATTTTTAAATAGTATTTCCAAGTCCTACAGAGTCATTATGTGACAAAAACTGGGGGCAGAGGCTATAATAACAGGACCTACAGCTACAATGACAAGTGTTCAACATTTACGTACAGAGGTATCTCTGATTTGTCCACCGGTATTTATCAACTTCATCGCAAAGTATCCACAGAAAAAATCTTGTGTTCAACTATTTTTGACATTATCGCCTGTTTAATTGAACTCTTTTGGCTGGGCGCGCATATAATCCTAGCACATTGGGAGGCTGAGGTGAGAGTGGGTTCGAGACCAGCCTGGGCAAACTGGCAAGACCTCATCTCTACAATAAATAAAAAAATTAGCCAGGCATGGTGGCACACACTTGGAGTTCCAGCTACATGGAAGGCTGAGGCAGAAGGATTGCCTGAGCCCAGCAGGTCAAGGCTGTGGTGGCTGTGAGTGCACCACTGCATTCTAGCCTGTGTGACAGAGTGAGGCTCTAACTCAAAAAAATAAAATAAAAAATTCAACTCTTCTAATAACATCACACTATACTGGTTGACCTTTCCTTCAGCTACATTTAGTAGAAGCTGAAATGGAATGAAGTTTGATAACTTTTCAAAGATTAGATCCTTCTTTCTCCCAAATCTCATACCCTTTCCCAGAATTAAATTATTCTCACCATTATCTTGAAGCAGGTATGGCTCTGGAGATTCACATTCCATTCTGTCTTCCATACAGTGAGGCTGGGTGCCTAAGGATTCCTCTGCAGAATCCAGAGGGGTCATTTCTTCCACAGGAATTCCCTCCCCACATGTGCCCTGTGGGACCTGTAGACAAATAGGTACATTTGGTAACCAATATAATAATTATGGTTTGCCATAGCTACACCTCAAAACACTCTTTCACTAAAATACAATATAAGAAAAATAAATCAGTCCATTGAATTCTTAGGAGTGCAAAATAGAACAAAGAGAGAAATGAAAAATGCTGGGACTCATAAAATCAGAACCACACAACAGAAACTGATTGTTGAAATACATTCCTCAGGTTTCTGTGTTTGGAAGTAATAATAGAAATGCATTAAAGTAATAGCTCCTAAATTGTGGTAATTGAAAGGAAACTGTAAATGAGTTTCAATGTGGCTAATTAAAATAAAATATTGGGTGCGGGTGAGAAGGAAATACAAATATCTAATACAAACTAATGAGCTGTTTAACCCAGGAAGGAATCTGACAGTTGTTTTAGGTCACATGTGGAAAACATTAGTCTAATGTGTTATGGATAAAAAAAAAGTCCACCCAAGTTGGATAACTGTTGGGTGGAAAGGAAAACATTAACCTCTCCTAACACTAATCACCCAGTATATGGTTTATAACCCAAATTCCAACTGTCTCAAAAATTTTATGATCTTTTAAAAACCCATGATCCAATGTTTTATACATCATTTTTAGTTATGTCTCCTTCACTTCTTTTCATTTAAAAGTTTTCTTTTCCTTTTTTTTTTTTTTTTTTTTTTTTTGAGTCAGGGTCTCACTCTGTCACCCAGATTAGAATGCAGTGGCTCAATCACAGCTCACCAGTCTCTAACTCCTGGGCTCAAGCAAACCTCCCACCTCACCCTCTGGAGTAACTGGGACTACAGGTGCACACACCATGCCTGGCCAATTTTTGTTTTTTGGAGGTAGAGATGAGGCCTCACTATATTGCCCAGGCCTGTCTCCAACTCTTGGGCTCAAGCAATCAGTCCTCCCAGCTCAGCATCCCAAAGGGCTGGGATTACACCTGTGAGACACCACACCAGGTCAGTTTCTTGCCTTTTTAAAAATGACACTGAATTTTGAATTCAGAGCCAGTTGTCTTATAAAATATCCCACATAAGACATATATCTGATGGGGAGACACCTCTTATCAACAAGAGTGCCTGAACGAAGCATATTTGTATACCTAACCCTTAACTGTACCCCACAGTACCCTTAACTGTATCCCACAGTAAAAAATATTGATTAAAAAAAAAGACATATATCTGATTGTTTCTTCACAGATTCTGGTTGGACATTTCTGGAACAATACTATGTATGTGATGTGTACTTATTGTACATCACAGGGCACATTCTATCAGATTATTTCATTGTTGATCGTGCTAAATTTGACCACTTAGCTAAGATGGCGACTAGTAGATCTATCCATTCAAAAAATATGTTTGTCCCATTGTAATTAAGTTATCTATGGGATAATAATTTGGGACTATGTGAATATCTTAATCTCCAATAGTTTCAGCATTCATTGATACTTGCCTAAATCTGTTTTTATATGGGAGGTTGCAAAGTGTTAGCTTACTTTTATAATTCCTTCTACATTGACTACTAACAATTTTCTGGAAAGCACTTTCCATCTCTCCTCCTTTATCAGTCTGGGTTTGTTTGCTTGTTTTTTATAGTATCACTATAGACTTATTTTAATATATTCTATCCTTAGTCACTTTGATACTCAAACTGTCTCAAATCTGGTCAGTGTAAACCTCCTAAAGCTGGCGCCTACATCGTTCTGACACGACTATATTTTTCACACATTCACACTTTATAAAAACACACAATTCAGGGACCACACTGTATTTTGCCTGTTCCAGATATAGTTCAACTATTTTTTCCAGTAAGTCTTGATTCGTTTTACAGGGTAACAATGTTTCATAACAAAGACTGGGTAGGAATACTCACTGTTAATAAGGCATCATTGCCTCTAAGCTTTTTTATGGATAGAGTTGGTAAGTACACTTTTTAAAATATAATGAATTCAATTCAACAACATAGTTTTCCTTACCTTTCAACATTCCATATTTGTATCTCCTTTTCCCATAGTGGAAAAAAATCCAGTCCAAAAACAATTGAATATTTATTTATTTACTCTAGCCCACAATAAACACAAAACTTTCAAAATTAAAGCACTTTACGCTGTACAACACTTATAATCACCTACCTTCGAAGTAAAACTCAATGCCTTGCAGATTTATATGTCACAGACTGTATCCTAAATATATACTTATAATACTATGTCCAAGTCACATGAATTGTTATTAATTTGATATGAATTCACTTGTTTGTTTAATCATTTTGAATTTAATATATTGTTAAATAATTAAAACATTTATAGTATCAAAAAGTCAAGATATGTATTCAAATAAATCTTCCACATATTCATAAAGCCTGCGTTCTGCTGGTTGTGAAGGCTCACATCTGTAATTCCAGAACTTTTGGGAGGAGGCGAGAGGATTGCCTGAACCCGTTTGAGATCAGCCTAGGCAACTTCGCAAAAGCTCATCAATAAATTAAAAAATCAGCTGGTCGTGGTGGCATGCACCTGTAGTTCCAGCTACTTGGAAGGCTGAAGCAGCAGGATGGCCTGAGCCCAGCAGATCAAGGCTGCAGTGGTTGTGAGCATACCACTGCACTCCAGCCTGGGCAACAGAGTGAGATTCCGACTCAAAAAAAAAAAGAAGCTTGCATTCTACTCTCATTCATTCCCATAAAAAACCAGTTTCTTCACTTGATGGTTTTTGCAAAAATAAGTAAAAATCATTATATATACACATATATATATACATACGTTGGCATGTATATATATATATATATGTGTGTGTGTGTGTGTGTGCATATTTCTATATGCGTGCATATATACAAATTGAATACAAGCATGTGAGTATACTTATTTATTTTCTTTCATATATTATACTAGTTCACATCCTTTTGTTTTCACTTAATATAAACATATTATCTGAAAACCATTGCCTACTAGTTCACATACACCTTTCTCATTCTTTGTTAAGTCTCCATAGGATCATATTGTTGTGCCATAGTTTATTCAATCACTCTTATATAAATGGACATTTACATTATTTACAGTATTTTGCTTTTACAAAGAAAATTGAAATAAGAAACTACATCTGTGTTGTTTCTTATTTGATTTTTGTTGTTGTTGTTTTTGAGTTAGAATCTCACTGTCGCCCAGGCTGGAATGCAGTGGCACTTTCACGGCCACCACAGCCTAGACCTGCAGGGCTCAGGTGATTCTTTCACCTCAGCCTTCCAAGTAGCTGGAACTACAGGCATGTGCCACCACACCCAGCTAATTTTTTGATTTATTGTAGAAATGAGGTCTCATCAAGTTGCCCAGGCTGGTCTCGAATTCGTGGACTCAGACAATCCTCTCACCTCTGCCTCCCAAAGTGCTGGAATTATTGGCGTAAGCCATCACAACTGGCTGTCTCTTATTTGTAAACAAGCATTTTCAAAGTAAATTCCCTGGCTGGGCACAGTGGCTCATGCCTGTAATCCCAGCACTAAGGGAGGCAGAGGCAAGAGAACTGCCTGAGCCCAGAGACTCAAGACCAGCCCGGGAACTTTGGCAAGAACTCGTAACCACAATAAATCAAAAAATTAGACAGGTGGGGTGGTTCGCACCTGTGGTTCCAGCTACTTGGAAGGCTGAGATGGAAGAACTGCCTAAGCCCAGCAGGTCAAGGCTGTGGTGGCCATGAGTGTGCAACCATACTCCAGCCTGGGCAACAGAGACTCAGGCTCAAAAAACAAGCAAATAAATAGATTCCCAGAAGTGATATTGCTGGGCCAAAGGGTAAATACATAAATAGGTTTGCTGGATGGTGCCAAAATCCCCTTTGTAGGGGTTGCACCATTTTGTGCTATCACTACCAATATATGAAAGGACTTTGTGTTCCCAGTTAAGCCAATAGAATGTGTTGTCAAGCTTTTGAATTTTTGCCAATCTGATAAGTGATAAATGGCACCTCAGTGGAGTTTTGAGTTGCATTTATTTATTTAATGAGCTTTAGTCTTATTTTGTCATTCAGGCTGGAATAGTGCAGTGGCATGCTCACAGTCACCATAGCCTCTCCCTGCTGGGCTCAGGTGATCCTTCTGCCGCAGTCTTCCAAGTAGCTGGAGGCACAGGCATGCACCACCACGCCCGGCTAATTTTTTCACTTATTGTAGTGACAAGGTCTCCCAAGTTGCCCAGTCCCTTGGCTCAAGCCCCTGGACTCAGGCAATCCTCTTGCCTCCACCTCCCAAGGTGCTGGGATTACAGGCGTGAGCCACTGCGCCCAGCCTGAGTTGCATTTTTGATGATTGAACATCTTGTCATCACTTAAAAGCCTTTTGAAAAAAAAATTTGTGAAAACTACTCATGTCTTTTGACCATTTTTTGTCACATTTCTGTCAGGAAATTCACTTCTATCCATGATATATTTTGCAAATATTCTCACCAATTTATTATTTTGACTTTCTTGTGTTTTTATTTGTATGATTAAAATTTTAAATAGTAATCTAACACAAAGTTTATTCAGGTATATGGTGTGAAATATGGAGCTAATGTGTTTCTTTTCACAGTGGCTATCCTTTTGTCCTCACGCCATTTATTTAAATTCATCATTTCCCCAATTATTTGGTAAGAGACACATGATTTAAACACTAAATTTTCATAAACACTTGGTACCTTTGTACTTCTATGGTTTCACTGATCAATCTACTCATGTGCCAATAGCATAGTTTTACCTAAAGAGGCTTTACAGTATGTTAGTATCTAGGTTAAGGCTATTTCCCTCTTCTATTTCAAATTTTTCCTAGCAATTCTTTCATGCTTACTTTTACATATGAAGTTCATATGTTTTAACCATTTTATTTTCATACATAAGCAATTAGTTTTGTTTTTCCTAAGATAGCAGGTAGAAATTTTCTATTGACTTTACATTTGGGGTTCTAGGTTGCACAGATATCTACACTTGCTGTATGTCATTATTACCTAGTAATAATGATTA